GGCTGAGCAGCACTCCCCCTGTGGGAGCGCACTGACCACCAGGGGACAGCTCCTGCATTGAGCATCTGTCCCCTGGTTGTCAGTGTGTGTCATGGCAACAGATTGTTCTGCTGTTCGGTTGATTTGCATATTAGCCTTTTATTATATAGGATTATGTGTAACGGGATGCTGTAAAAATTAAGTTATGAAATTTTTATTCTATGTTTCTTACATACTATTATATTGGCTGGGCCACAAAAATATTCATTGTGGGCCGCGAGTTTGACATGCTTGCTCTGGGACTTAACAATGTGTCTGATACAAACCAGTCAGTCTAGGTATTTGGGGAATCATGCATGGATCCAGCAGTGGCCAAGTGAAACGGCACAAAGCAATTGTGTGACAGCGGAAGTGAAGTGTCACAATTGCGTTAGACCCTGGAAAGGGCTGTTCTATTCCCACAGGAGGAAAGTCCAGACCATACATCTACACTATAACATAACAGGGAGAGGAGCTCATGATGTGAAGAAAATGGCTAGACTCCATCAAAAGCAGTTCTGGTGGCTGGCTGAGGACTCTGTAGCTGAAACTGAATGGAGACGGTTTTTAAATGATCTTTCTGGACCTCCATGTGTGTTTCTGCACAGAAAAAAAAGGCCTGGTTCACAGTGGCTTCACATTCTCCTTCACTCCCTCCATCCTGTCCCATTTAGGATCTGTTGAGGGCAGGCTGTTTGCAGGGACTTCTGGTCCATTAATTTTGCCTTTGCCCACCTGAGCTGCTGTCCCTGGATCAGTGACGTGGGGCTTTCTCATGTTTTGCCTCTTTCCTTTTTGGGACCCTCACACAGCCTTTGGCCAAATTTTGGTTGTTGACAAAAAGATCCAGATATGTGATAACTATTCCTATTATTATAGAAAGAATGTTGCTTGTCTTAAAGGGCACAGCCATATGTTTATTTGACTCTAAAATGACTTCGTATCCAATTTATTATAGTTTTTAAGAATCTATTGTAATATCATTTTTGTCCAGGGCTATACTAAATACAAATAACTTTATTACATAGCATTCATTATCTTTGATTGTTGCACCCCAACTTTACATTTCATTGATTTTTTTTAACATAAAAATTTTAATGCATGTACTTGCATTTCTTAGGTAAAAATGAAAAGTCAAATAGTTTTGTATTAAGGTGAAGGTGAAATCACTGTAACAAGGAGACCAAAAATAAAGATAAAATAGAAGATTGTTTCTCTTACTTGCAGCCTGACTGGTCTCGGTTGGCGGGGCAGCTGTATTAAACAAGACCATTCATTGGCTGCCTTTTGGGAGCTGCCCTATGGAGAGGCGCACATGGGAAGAGACAGGTGCCTCTGGCCCAGAGCCCAGCCACTGCCCAACAGTACATATCTGTGCCCCTTTTCCCAGTGGACACAGGCCATACGTTCAGAGTTTAAGACAGAGGACTTGTGAAAACTCTAATCTAGTGTGTGTCCATGAGAAAACGGCACCATTTGTCTTCCTTGTCCCATATGATTCTTTAATTTGCTTTTTGAAAGGAAGAAGTGGAATTATACAAAAAGAAAAAAAAGACACAGGCCTCTGGCCTGGTGATAAGGAAGAAATGTGGGTGACAGTGAAAGTTAGAAAGCTGAGAAAGCAGGAATCTGCAGACGGCCTTGCCACACACACACTTCAGAAAATCCTCATTATAGCAAATGTGCTGAGGGTGGGACTGGCTTCCATGCAGCAGGAAAACTCAGCAGTGCGGGAAGGTGTGTGCTGCCCAGGCAGCTCTGACACAGGTAATAGCCTCTGTGGGAGCTTCGGGAGCTCGGGGGCCGAGGTTCACGGAGGGGATCCCAGGCCTCGTGTGGGGCAGTGCTGGGTGATGCTAATGTGGATGCTCTGGGAGAGGATAACTGGCACATGCAGTGCACATCCTCATCCTCGTTTAATATGAGCCTACGGAGGGGGATGTTTGTATCTTTCTGTTGAGCTGGTGAGTACGGGCTCCCTCGGGTAGCACATCATCCACAGGCTCTCACTAAGCATTTCTGTGAGAACCATTTTAAAAACAAACATTGAAAATGGCTCGCTTCATTTGGTAAACACACTGTGAACACACAGAAATGCGATGCACACATCCATTTAGTTTTAAAGCACCTCGGAGATACAGGAGCAGGCCAGTGCTGATTCGTGGCCATCGCTGGCTAGAGTGACTTATGTTACCCAGAGCCCGTGCTGCAGGTTCACGTTCCCACGTGCAGATTTTATGGCGTCCAAACAGACAACCATGTTTACTCGCTACCGTGCTTGGAACATTTTAGCTCTCACTCAGTCAGTAAATAGTGACCAGTCAATAGGAGTCACTTCCTTTCATTAATTCTCTCTTAATTCTACCGAGTCCCATTGCTCGTCTTGGTTCCCAGAGCAGCTGTTTGGTTTTCTTGGCTGCTAACACATTGGCCCAGCGGGACACTTAGCACCGGTTGGAGGAGGGTGAGGAGGAAGATGGAGATGCTGTGATGTCGCCATGGTGGGCAACGACATGCTTGGTAAGACAGTGCTCAGGCCCTTCGTTATTTTCTTCTAAACTTTTCCTGCTAAGATGTGGAGTCAGACAGATTGGCCGCTCCTACGATGTGGGCCCAGACAAGTGGGGTCACAGGAGCAGTCTTTTT